ACCAACATAACAGATTCACTACTGAATATTTAAAGTACTAACCAACGATAACAGACTCCGGCTACTGAATAATTTAAAGTACAACCAACGATAACAGATTCCGGCTCTGAATATTTTAAAGTATTAACCAACGATAACAGATTCCGGCTCTGAATATTTTAAAGTATTACCAACGATAACAGACTCCGGCTCTGAATATTTTAAAGTACAACCAACGATAACAGACTCCGGCTCTGAATATTTTAAAGTACAACCAACGATAACAGACTCCGGCTCTGAATATTTTAAAGTACAACCAACGATAACAGACTCAGGCTCTGGATATTTTAAAGTACTACCAACTTGTAACACGTCTTTTCATACCTAAATTTACAACTTTCAATACTGCTGGTTGTTGGGTTTTTAACGCAAATCTACACAATGGGCTATTTGCGACCTATCCACCGGTGGGAATCGAACCACGGGTCTTAACAGTGTAAATCCAGACACTTACCACTGAACCAACAGAAGACGAAATTTCAACTAATAGTGTTTGCATTCTTGAGATACAAAAAGAAAATCAAATATGTAAACTTGATCTCAATACAGATATTCTGTTGATGTTACGATCTCACTGCCACACTTCACAAGTCGATTTATTTCTGTTGTTGCCCTCTAATAAACCGATAGCTTGATGAGTAAGTACTATCACTAAACTAAGGATACAACAGTTTAAAGCAATAAAGTAAAAATTGTTGTGAAATTTTGCGGGTGTTGATTTTTGTTAATTCATCACGTCAATATATTTTATATCACTTATAGACAAATCAGAACGCACTCATATTCGCATTTAACCGTTTTAAAAACAACCCTCTCTCCCTTTCGCATATGAAATTTCAAGCAGGAAATAACATTAAAGGACGCTTTATATAATCTTAGATACGAATTACTCCAATAAAACTGGCCAGGGGGGGTTAGGGAGCTCGAGTCGCAATCTGAAGGTTGTGGGCTCGAATCCCCGTCCCACCACAACATGCTCGCCCTTTCAGCCGTGGGGGCGTTATAATGTGACGGTCAGCTGGTAAAAGAGTAGCCTAAGAGTTGCCGGTTGGTGGTGATGCCTTCCCTCTAGTCTTTCACTGCTAACTTAGGGACGGCTAGCGCAGATCGCCCTTGTTTAACTTTTCGCGAAATTTAAAACAAACAAAGCAATGAAACTTACTGGAAATATGTAGATAAGTCAGTCGCCAAAATAGCGTGTTTTAGGATCTTCATGACCCGGCTGTAATCATCAGCAGAAAGAAGTGAAAATATGTTGTGACCCTGAAAAAGATTTAAGAAAAAATTTAAATTAATCTCAAATCTAATGTTTCTTCAACAGATTTAATAGACACTGTGGTTTCATCTAGCGGTTAAAATATGAAGTATCTTTAGCACGGAAAGCTAACATATATATATAAATACAGACATTTTTACATATACATTAAATAACGCAATTTCATTAGTCACATTTCCTCATGAATTGTATTTCAACGTTCTAAAAAACATAAACTGATCACAATGAATTAATATATTAAAATTTTCATTAATATTTTTTTATGTTAAAACTTCTAATGCACTACGTTATCTCCAAGATCTCACTGAAAGAGAAAATAAAATTGAAAGTTCTCTTTCACGAGGTTGAAAATTAATACATAATTATTTAAATAATATTTCAACAGAAATAGAAAAACCTATAATGAAACTGACTCCCTTATCCTAATACAATATTTGTAGCCTAACCATTGTTGTGGTTGAGGTTGAAAGCTCAACAATGCTGGAGATTTATTGGTTGGTTTTACGCCACCACCAATAACAGGGGATTAGTAAAATGTCCATTCATTTTACATAACTTACCTCACTTGACAGTATCATTACAGCGTGATTAAAATGATGCTGCTCCATTGTGGCCTTACTTCCATAGAGCAATGCAAGTGCAGACCCACTCCTGTGAAGTAAAGAGTTTTTTTTTTTATTACGGGTTAAAGATGCGAGATAATATAGTCTTTGTTCTACAAAAAACAAATTGTTCGTTGTCTAGAAGCGTCATTAATCATGTCTATACATAGAAGCATTCGGATCGTTACAGATATCTGCTAAATTAGCATATTCAGTGAAAACACGATGTTTGTTTATAATCACTTTTATAACTTTTTATTTTTTCAAGTTTTAGAACCACCTGCTCCATCACTCGTACAAATACTCAAAAAAAAACAGTTTCCGTAGAACGTTCGATACGTATACTTCACGAGGTTTTTTTTTCCTTTTAAATAAGTCGAACTTACTGAATTTAACTGTTCATTTGAAGTGTAAGATCAAGTTAAAATGAATACATAGAAAATAAAAAGTTAAATTATGTTTATGCTACAAAATATTATTACTGTAGTTAAAAAACAACAACAGAGTGAATCGTGAACTAAAACATTTAAGCTATTTTCATTGTTAATGGAACTGAGTTGCACATCAATTTTTTTTCTCTCCCTAAGTACACAGTACACGACGCTCACTGCTATTTGTGTTTCATTATGATTCAAAATCAAGCTAGTGGTTGTATTCCTAGTATTTTATTACGATCAGAATCTGCCTGATAAGAACATTAGGGCGTTTACCGAATGACATTGGAAAGGGTTTTAACCGAATGACATTGGAAAGGGTTTTAACCGAATGACATTGGAAAGGGTTTTAATAACGTTTGGGTTCAGTTCCAAGTGCTGAGAACTCGAGGCTTTCTGTTGCATCTGTTGGAGTGAGTCAGTGTTTCGTGATAGCAAAGCCACATCGGGCTATCTGCTGTCTCCACCTAGGGGAATCGAAGCCCCGATTTTAGGGTTGTAAATTCGAAGACTTACCACTGTCTCACTGGGGGAACATCTGTTGAAAGATTTAGTAACTTCAATAGCAAAGAGGATTACGAGACAATTAGACATTCAGAGATTCCTAACTACCAACAGCAAAATCTTTGTTGGTAACGGTATACGCAAATGTCAGAATTCAATCGTTTTACATTTATCTGACACTTTACGTCCCCCGAAGGACAGCTAAAATCCGGGATTCGATTCCCCGATGTAGACACAGCCAAATGTGGCTTTACTCTAAAACAAACAAATAATTAAGCTGACGCTTTATAAAAACGACGAATTTAATCGTGAAATGACGTTGAACAACGTTCGTAATTCGTCTATTGATTTCTGTTCTGTTAGTTTTATAGCAAATCCACATTGGGGCTATTCGCGGGGAATCGAATCCCGGATTTTCGCGTGTTAAGTCCCTAGATTTACTGCTCTCCCATGGGGGGGACTCTGATGATTTCTAGCGGAAATAAAAACATAACCCACAGCTCTTTTACCATTCTGAGTGTTTGTTAATAGTGGAACAATAACAACGACAAAATAATATAATATTCATTCATAAAATCGAAAATCTTTGAAGCATATAAATAATGCACTGTGCTAAATCTGAAATATACCCTAAATCAAAATAAAAGATAGATCGATGCAGTGCGTAATTGAAAATTATATTTTCAAGCAAAGAAGTTTTCATTACTTTATAAGTGATAATTAAACGCCACTCTGGTATGTAGGTCATTCATGGAAAGCGTTTTACGCATGCGTCAAAAAAAAACTGATCTTGAGAAATAATTACTGAAAGAATAGCACGAACACGCTTTAAAACTCAAATAAGTCTAACGCTAATGGACGAACTGTTTATTCTGAATTTATGTCAAATGCGATGACACGTATATTTTTGTTTTGGGTTTATCAATGAATAAAGCAACGGAATAAACAAATTGTTCTTCCGTTTAGAAAGTAATAAAGGGATGTATTTCATATATACTAATGTTCAACTACGGTGTAATTGTTTGTTGGTTTGTAATTATGCACGAAGCTACACAATGGGCTATATGTGCTCTGCCCACCATGGGTATCGAAACCCGGATTCTAGCGTTGTAAGTCCGCAGACATATCGCTGTGCTACTGGGAGGCATGTATGGTGTAAAGGAACTCGTTTCAATCGATGTATACAAATACGTATAGGTGATGCTATATTATACTATTTTCAGTTTAAGCCTAAGTAAATAGTAAACTAAGTAAACAACCTTAGTTACAAATTTGTCTATAACTTGCCTCGTGTATATATATATCTTTGTAATTTAAAATCACTTTTTGTTACGTGACAAAAAAAAAAATACAATAAACTCTAATGTCGTCAGGACTTCAATATTTTCTAGTTGTTCAATACCCATAAATTAATTTGATAGCAGGGTGTCTCTTTCACTCACTTTCAGTAATGGTCTCACTATAAGATTAAAAATTCAGATATCCAGATGAGGAAATGTATTTATTCAATGGGTATTAACAATTGTTGCAGAGACTACTCGAATGTTAAGTTACCTATGAATTTTCAGGATGAAAGTAAATACTGCTTTCGATACAAGTACATTCTGCAAATTTAACAGAATATCTCAATGCTTAAGCTATGGCGAGTTTAAAGTTTTGAAACTAACACATCGATTGCTTTTTTTCTTCTTTTTTTTAAGTAAATAGAGCGATTCGAAATAGACAAATTCAATTAACTTTACTAGGGGAAAAAAGAAGAAATAAAACTGATCATGGTGACATTTAGCCTGGGCAACATTTGATCTCGTTTTATTCAAACTTCTGAATTAGTATGTACAGCATATTCTAATACTTTTTGACATACAAAAGGGCTTGGGATTTACAGAGAACAACAACTATGCGAGACAGATTGGCCTTTAAAACACATTTTCTAACCTTTTGTGTCAACTAAATGAACAACGTTTCTCTGAGGTGCACGAAAAAAAAATGGCTGCTTTCCTTGCAATCCAATTTTAATGTCTACAATTTAGATAACCAATTCAAGAAAATTAACTTGACAGAAGAGTTTATAAGTGACAATTGTACAGCGGAAAGGAGAATGGAATTGGAGTCAATGGAAAATTGAGCAATTTACATCTCAAAATAAAGAATTTGCAAGAGCGACACGCTATCGAGATTAGAACAGGATTTCTTTTCCGGAGTATACAATTCTTTAAACACTATTCACACTCTTAAAGTAATGATCACCTACTTCTCCTGAAAGGCATTGTTTGTGCCCCGATGGTCGAGGTCGTGACATAGACAACCAGTTAGCATTCCAAAGATCTCCAGGTCCGTAAGAATAGATTTTAGACCACAGTGCTGCAGATAGAAATAAAATTACAAATATGACAATAACTCTTTAAAAAATCATTTAAGATATTAAAAGGAATCAAAATAGAATCAATTTAAATGACCAGCTTAAAAAAACTGTTTAAAATAAGATTAGACTAGTATTAACGAATTGATCAATAAACATAGTAATTTAGAGTAAAGGTGCTCTGAATCATCGTTGTTGACAGAAACTGTAATAGACTGACCATCTCAAAAGATTAAGCAAATTAAGAAATTGAAATGGGTTTAGTTGGTTTTGAATTTCACGCAAAGTTACACGAGGGCTATCTGCGCTAGCCGTCCCTAATTCAGCAATGAAAGACTAGAGGGAAGGCAGCTAGTCGTCACCACCCACCGCTAACTCTTGGGCTACTCTTTTACCAACGAATAGTGGGATTGACCGTCACATTATAACGCCCCCACGGCTGAAAGAACGAGCATGTTTGGTTGGGCGGGGATTCGAACCCGCGACCCGCAGATTTTTAGATCTAATATTTGATATTCATTAATTAACAGTTTAAAGAGAATTTCACTGAGGTTATGAACTATATTTTTTACATTATTTTTTCCTCGAACGTTAGATCAAATAAACCTATAAAAGCTCGTTAGCTAACTTAATGCATGATTTTGGTGTGCATATTTTTGACTAAAACATTAACCCTTAATCATGTGTATGATACAAATCACTGTGATACTTTGGCAAGTTTATACAGTTTCGAAACGATGCATTTCTATTCATAGTGATTTAATCCCATTTCATTCGTATATTAAGTTTCAAAACTCCAATTATTCTTTCTTTTTTCCTATGTCTTTTTTTTTTTTCAAAACGAGAAACCTACTCTTCAAATTTCTTTACAAAAATAGATAATTACTTCAAATTTCTCTACAACAATAGGTAATTACTTCAAATTTATTTACAACAATAGATAATTACTTCAAATTTATTTACAACAATAGATAATTACTTCAAATTTCTCTACAACAATAGGTAATTACTTCAAATTTCTTTACAACAATGGGTAATTACCTCAAATTTCTCTACAACAATAGGTAATTACTTCAAATTTCTTTACAACAATAGATAATTACTTCAAATGTATTTCCAACAATAAATAATTACTTCAATTTTTATACAATAATATATAATTACTTCAATTTATTTACAATAATAGACAATTACTTCAATTTCTTTACAAAAATAGAAAATTACTTCAATTTCTTTACAAAAATAGAAAATTACTTCAATTTCTTTACAATAATAGATAATTACTTAATTTAGTTTTGTCTGACATTTTAGTTTTTGAGTAAAATATGTTCTTCTGGTATTTTAACAGGAGCCATTTCCTCTTTATTTCAAAGTTAAAGTTTAGTCATTGATATTCTGTCTAAAGATAAAGGAGATTATTTCCCCATTATACGCTTTCACTTTATCTTGTTTTACCTTGATCTCATTTTCAGGTTTTTGTTTGTTTATCTGCTTTTCAAATTACCTGCACCGAGAGTATCGAAACCCTTTTTTATTAACGTTATAACTCTGAAGCTCATCGCTGAGAAACTAGGGTTTGTCTATAATTAAGTTACGCAGTTTCATGATATTTGATTACATTATTGTGATATTCCCTTAGGATTTATATTAGTAATTTCTTTCTTGTACTTCATATACTTGACTTTATTTCTCGTTACTTTATGCTCATTTTACTTCCTTTTTCTAATAATTGCATACGTCCATATGTATTATGAGTCTGGTTTAAACAGTTAGTGCTCACGATTCGGTGCCAAACGTATTGTTTATTTCAAACTCTCATGGCTAGCATGTGACTTAAGCAGGAGAGACTGTAAACTTCACCTCGACGCTCAATTTACAAGCAGGATCACAACAGCGCCCAAGTACACACTTTTCAACGAAATCACATGCTTTCAAGTGCAATTTAAAACGTTGCTTCAAGGGCGGGCGGGCTTTGTTTCCTGAAACACTAAGTTTAGACAGAACAGTTATTAGTCTAACACGGAATTCGAATGGCACGACCTTACTAATGATGTAAACCATAGTAGAACTCAAGAGAGACGTAGTAGTCTCCAACCCTAAATCATAGTAGGACTCTAGAGACCCGTAGTACTCTCCAACCCTTCTTGTTAACCTCAAACACTTTATCGATCTGAGTCCTTCTGCGCTGTAGTTCTACCGAACAAACGCTACAGTTCTTATTCGTAAGATTTCAGAGCGAGAACAAAAATACAAATCAATAGGTTTATTCCACTTAGAAATTCCAATAAAATTTAATACTAACCGTAAGAATGGCAAACATCACTTGAGCAACGTTAAAAGCATGACGCCAGTTATGGTAAGGAATGCTGCGGTAATTTTTTCTCAAGGTACATAAGAACTGACAAAGTATCTGAAATATAAAACAATGACAGTTAGAAAGAACAGGATAACTAAATGTAACAAAAAAAATGACAATATTTTAACAGTTTTCCCCCCAAAATAAGTATTACCAGACCAGAGATAGTCCGATCTCTTTTTCAGAATTAAGTAACCTTAATTAATCCGGAGAAGATATTTTACTATACATTCATCGATAGATCAAATTATCATGGTTAGTTGTTTGTTTGAAGTTAAGCACAAAGCTACACAATGTGCTACACTGGGGGGGGGGGGTGCAGTTATTATGGATAAAATACTTTCTTCCTCTCCGTATATTTTTATTACATAGATTGATCTATGTTTAGATTCAAATATTATAATTATGACCAAATATGGATCTTATTAGATAATCCCCATTTAAATTACTAAAACAAGGTAATTACAAACATATGAATTTTATTTTCTCTCTCTCTCTCTCTTATCACACTTTTAACATCAGCTCACTGGTGCTGGATTTCTTGTTTAAAGAACATAGTGTGTCAAGATATGCAGAATTCTCAAACATTTTCCGGCACATAGAAAGATGCCTGAATGTAAATGAAGAAATTGAACAGTTCCAAATTATTGGAAAGGCTGAAAATGAGCAGTGGGTAAGATTAAAAGAAACATTAGCCATAAAGAACTTAGCACCTGAACTAAACAAGAAATCCAGCACTGGTGAGCTGATGTTGAAAGTGTGATAAGAGAGAAAAAATTATCATTTATTAAAATCATTTGGTATCCTCTGACTGAGGATAGATACGATTGAAAAATCACGATCTATACTATTTTATGTTATTGAACTATATGTAAATCTAAGCAAATCTGATAAGTTAGTAAACTCATATATTATTAAATTTTAAAATATTAATTTGTTTACATGGTGTTAAGCAGGAAATTTCCCTATGGGCTGTATTTGTGCCTTTTACCGTAAGGTTGGAGTCGCGAATATCAGCGTTATAAGCCTTCAAACTTACCACAGAGCAACCGTGGGGAGCCAATAATATAAAAAGTCACATTTCTAAATTTGCATGTGTTCACAATCTTACAGTTAGTTCAGTCACATAAAAACTACACGTCTTTAATAGGATTTTTCAAACTATGCGGATCGAAAAAAAAAGAACATTTTTTTAGGCTTAAAGTAATAAATTCAAATTTTTCAGAGGTCTGTAAGCAATCAAAGTAAACTTGAAACCAGATAAAATTGTATTCTTTATTTCTTAAAAACATGCATAACATTAATTCGTAATCTTGAAATAAATTTTGCTTTTGTAATCAAAATGCCCTCAGTGGTATGTAGTCACTATATGGTGATATATATATATATACTAGGGGATAAATAAACTCGTGCTCCTCTTAATATGTATATATATATAAATTATTTGACTGCTGAAACATTATATAGGAAACTAAATTAATATAGTCAGACTTTAATCCTCGAGAGCCTCTTTTTTTTTCCGCATATGCAACATTATTGAGTGAAATATTATATATATGAGCAGAGTATACGTTTTAAATAAATAGGTTTTTTAAATAATGATGTTATTGTATTGTAGAGTTGGACTTGATGGAAACAAAAAGTTAATAAGCAGAATATTGAATTGTAATTAGATTTGCAGTAAATAAGTGTAAAAACTTGGAATGATTATAAATGAAATATATATCTGTACACAACATTTATTGCATAAACATCTTGTTTTTGTAGATAATCGCCATCTTTGACAAAGATTCTGAGAATTTTTCTTGGCCGAACTCTTGATAAGGCAGCATTTTAATATTATGGTATTACTATTTATCATATTTTTCTTTTCCTTCCAACTCCTTTTTTTTTACACTCCCATAATGTATATATATACAATGAGTTAGTTCTACTTCTACCAATAACGGAAATGGTGTAATATTTTATTCCCTTAGGGTGTAAATTCATTCTTCACGTATGAAACGTATTCAAACTTTAGGCCTAATTGTTGATTTTTAGGCCCCTGTTAGAATTTGCACTGATGTGTAATGGTATTGCGTTATTTATAAAGCACGGAAAGGTAAATAATTAACTTAATGTGTTTCCTTGCGTGTTTGTTTATGTTGCTGACGTAATCGTCTTGAAAGTTAATGTTATAAACGTCGTAGTTTTGCACTCGTATAGAACAATGCACATTATACGTCGTTCACTTTTGTACTCGTATAAACGTAATACTACCGTTGTCCTAATTAGACAATAGGAATATTGGATTTCCATGTGAGCTAGCAAGCATACAATCACGGATTGACTGACACACAATGTTCTTTTAATTACATAGATACAGCAAAAATAAAAATACGCCGTTTACACATCTGTGAGAAACAATGAACAGACAAAAGAAAGTTTTGAAAACTCTTTCAAAACAGATATTGGAAAAAAAACAACATATCATTCAAATTAAATGAAGTTCTTAAATAGTTACTTCAAGAGTGCAACTTGCTTTATTCTAAGCCACAAAATTTGCAATAAACTGATTTTATGCTTTACGAGCAGATAGATTGATAAGGCTCAGGAGTTTTCTAAACTGCCTTCTTTAATAACCAAGAAACTGAAACTGAGTAGCCTCATCTAAAATATGGCGTAGTTTTCTTCGCTAAAATAGCTTCCGCAGTTCGGAAGCCTATCTGGTTTCAGTTTTGACATATTCACAAAAATTAGAGGTACATCAGTAGTACATAATAGATTAGTCAAACAATGCATTCATAAATCACAATCTAATATAGTGCAAACCGTGGTGTCTGTCCGAGCGTTCGTCTGTCTCCCGTTCGAAAAGCTGCGCACGCAGGCAAAGCTCAACATTCACTTTTGAAATAATGGTAAAACAGGCATGAATAATGTTGATGCCAAAGTTTATTTCGCAAGCAGAATATTCAACACTAAGTTGTTAGGAATTAATCATACTATCATTCACATTTCAAAATGTGACGTAACTTAAATAATAAAAATGCAGATTTACCGTATGTTATTGTTGAGCGGTTCTTAGAATGACTGAAATATTCAAAAACTACTCTTTGCAGTGGGCGGTATAAGTAGCTCAGAGCTTTGGCTCTGAGAGAAACCAAGAGTGAAACACAATTAGCCTTTTTAAAGTCCATGAAATAATTTAAATTGATAGATTAACCTAAACTTTTTCCGTCACTGGGGACGAGTACTTTTGCTTGTACACTATAATAGCGAAAAAGTGGTATGTGGAAATAGAACAATTAATTTTACTAGTTTTTCAAAATTTTATAATGAAATCAGAAAATACATATTTCACGATTAAATAAAATGCAATATTTTAAGCACAGGTTTCAGTAGTAACAGTCGCGGTGGAGAAGAATGAATCAGAACTCCATTTTGACTTTGTTTGTCGTTTCGTAGGGAGAGTGATGCTACTAATAATTCATTGTCATTGAGAAGGGTATCTAACAGTACATTTCGACGCACAGTATTCACACTGTCAGATCATAAAGATGTTTTCAGATTAGAGATTTAGAAAGAAATATTGATCAAAGGGACCATTTAGAATGAGAACTTCGACAAGTTGTTCCCATCGTGTTGTGGAAATCCACGAAAACAAAGATCAGTGGCAAAACCTTCCACGTGTCTCTTGGTAACAGCACGAAACATAATCAAAAAGGATCTCCCGTCTGAAAAAGCAACACAAGCCACGCCTTCACCATGTGGGATATATCAGTCAGTTAAAGAATAAAACTGGTATCCGTGCTATTCCGTACACACATACCGGACGCAGAGCCTAAGGATTTCTATGCCAATGGAGTATTGAAAGGGGAACTGGGAAACGGTCGCCCTCGTACACTATATAGGTTATAGAAAGCATACAGTGAGGTGTATTGTTCTTTAGACATGACAAACTTAAGGCGAATCCTTTTGAAATAGAAACTACATTGCAAGGCTATTGTCAAGATGCAAGGTCGTTAAATAGAACATGACCGGATATGGCGACACGAAATTTAATGACGTGCTGAGTCTTCTCCGTCATTTTAATCTAACATAACTAACACTCCGTACAAAAATAAAACCATGCCCCTACAAAGGATACATGAAATAAAGAAATAGAATTGCTTTATATCAATGAGATCAGACCAAACTGTTAAGCATGAAGAAAAATTTAATGTTTGTGGACGAAGCTCATGTAGTACGGTCTTAATACGCATGCGCTTACACATGTAACATAAGTTTATATGCCATATATTACACAATTTAAATCAGGTGTTTACGAGACAAATAAACTTTTGTTTTTACTTCACGATTTTAATTCTCTCCAATTTTTAAAAACTTATTTGTTTCGAATATCCGTACAAAAGTACAGAACGGATATCTGCGCTAGCCGTCCCTAACTATGAACTGGTAGACTAGAAGGAAAGCAGTTAGTCAACAACGCCCACTATTGGGAAAGTCTATTCGAATAGTAGGGTTTAACTACAGCTCTTATAACGCACATACTCACAGCTCCAAGTTACATAGCGCGATTTTGAGGCAACAAAACGCGAACCGTGGATACTCGGATCTAAACCTCAGTATACTAACGACTAGGGCTACGTTCGTCACTTGAAGTTTTGTAGGACGATTTAGTGTATGGTTAGAGTTCTATAGTAATGCTTATTGCAATAACAAGTCCCGAACTTTAACATATAATAAAGTGAATATTTAGAGAAATCGTTATTATCCTAATAGAATGGTAAGCCTTCCTAGCAGGCCTAAACGAACATAAAACAAAGAATATCCTATCAGGTTATCACAAAATATGTTTGAGCCTAGGTGCTATGCAAAATAAGTTTTTACACATTAACACCCTACTCAGGTTCAGAATAACCTTGTGTAAATCTAAACATTGATGCATGATTTAAAATTTTAAAACTATATCAACATTATCTAGGTTTAACACGCTATTAAATAAATGTACATATATAATATCGTGCTAATGAGATAAATTTTTCAGACAGAATCACGTACAGAGCAAACGTAATTTTTCTGTTATTCTCTATGCATTTCTAAAATGATATTTAGATAGAAAAAAGTGACAGTGCCCTGCAATGTATGTTGTATTTTGTCCATTCATTTGCTATATTACCAGAATAATTAATCATTAGTTCTATAACATAGCGTCTATTCTTATAAGCAACAATTTCTATTTTAATTTGAACAATACCTGATATTCGATTCGAAACTTGGATATTAATCCTAAATCTTTGAACATCCTGATGGAAGCAAAAATCATTTCGTCGGAACTTAAAGAAAAATCGTCGAACTGCAAACTTTCCAAGTGCCATTCCACAGCAGTTGGTATCCTAGCGTCCTGGAAAGCAAAAGGATAATAAAAAAATACTACAATGATTTATGGTCGTACAGTGACACCTCATGGCTGAGTGCCATAAGAAATGCCTCATCCATTAAGTTGAATGTTAAATGAAATGCAAGAGATGAGAATATTATTCCACGTATGGGAGTATGATAGTACGAAACCATTCGATAATAGATTTTTTTTTGAAAAATAACACAAAGATAGCAATAAATCAAAGAAGCAAAACGTTAAAATTCCGCTTTCTTATCAAATGTTATGAAAGTTTCACTTCCCGTATAGCTAAAGCCACGATATCCACAACTTATGTATGACAGTTGAACGCATAAGGTGCATTTAATAGCTTTCATCTGTAATGTTACCTATAAAACTATTAATCTCGCTAACTTGGAATTGACTTATGATCATGGAATGGTACGAAGGGTAAAACCGTTAAAATCGTTGAGCACGATAATGTATGCTTGTATTCGCCTTGAAACTAGGTTACGAACACAATAGTGTATGCTTTTATTCACCTTGAAACTAGGTTATGAACACAATATTGTATGCTTCTATTCGCCTTGAAATTAGGTTAGGAACACAATATTGTACATTTGTATTCTCCTTGAAACTAGGTTACGAACAATATTGTATACTTGTATTCGCGTTGATACTAGGTTATGAACACAATATTGTATGCTTCTATTCGCCTTGAAATTAGGTTAGGAACACAATATTGTACATTTGTATTCCCTTGAAACTAGGTTACGAACAATATTGTATACTTGTATTCCGTTGAAACTAGGTTACGAACACAATATTGTATGCTTGTATTCACCTTGAAACTAGGTTACGAACACAATATTGTATGCTTGTATTCACCTTGAAACTAGGTTATGAACACAATATTGTATGCTTGTATTCACCTTGAAACTAGGTTACGAACACAATATTGTATGCTTGTATTCGCCTTGAAACTAGGTTGCTCTTAAAAACAAAAATATTTTTATATGTTCAGTATTTAATTTTACTCAAGTAAGTTTAAAAGTTTGGAATAATGACTATCAAAGTATGTTGTTGTTGATTTCTTTCCCTCAGAGTATCTAATGGCTGATGATAAGAAATTATTGAAACAGAATGTACAGAGTTTAAATGGGTTCAACAGGGTACCTAACCTGGAATAATGACTATCAAAGTATGGTGTTGTTGATTTCTTTCCCTCAGAGTATCTAATGGCTGATGATAAGAAATTATTGAAACAGAATGTACAGAGTTTAAATGGGCTCAACAGGGTACCTAACCTAGAATACTTTGTCATACATTGTAGTTCTATTCGAAATCTAAAATTTAAAAACAAATCTTCCACTTTTCAATAGCGTAGTTTATTTTTATGCTAGTATTAATACAGCGTTCACTGCAAAAGTAGACTTAAAACTATTGAAGAGTAAGTATATATGTGTTATCAGCTGTTTTCTTTGAACATTCAAATACATAACAGAAATAGCAATGTGTTATATAAAAATCTAAAAACTGACTAAAGTTAGCCTTTTTTAGCACAGGTTCTCCTCCCTCTATTTAAAGGGTCCCGTCGCAGCACGTCTTTCAGTGCGTAATCAATCCAGGTGACCGTCCCGGATGTCAAACTACCGACCACAGAGAGACAACAAACTGCTGCCATTTTTTATGTTTTTTACGCGTTTATTAATTTATCCATTCCTAATTTGTTTCATCATCATCATCATTATTATTATTGTGTTTATTTCTACCACAAGTTTCCAATATCACTAAAAAGGGATTGCACTTTAAATCTAAAGAAGAAAAGATTAAGATTTCTTGCAAATCGCTGCTCGACACTATAGCCTTTTGTTCACTTGTTTGTTGTTAAGCGCAAAGCTGCACAAACCTAGCTATCTGTTCTCTTCTCACAGCAACGATTTAAGTCCTCACCCTCTTAACCGCGGGGACGTTATAAAGTGACGGTCAATCCCACTATTCGTTGGTAAGAGAGTAGCCCAAGAGTCAGCGGTGGGTGGTGATGACGAGCTGCCTTCCTTCTACTCTTTAACTGCTAAATTAGGGATAGTCCTCGTGTAGCCTTGCGTGAAATTCAAAACAAACCAAGCCGTTGAGCCACCAGTGGGGGGGGGGGCTGACTTGAAAGGGATCGGAGCAAGTGTGGTTTACTCCGATCCTCATGTCGTATCTACATCAACATTTATCAGTAGAAAATCACAATTCGGAAAGGAGGAAGAGGTCATCATGAATCTGACCCTCCCTGGTCCATCAAAAGACCAAAACACCGAATTTGAGCTGAAAGCAAACCAGTGGGGGGGGGGGGCATCACTTTAGTAACAGTACAAACAAACTCAAGCCCAGCCTAGCGCCAACAACATGATGTGCAATTACACAAACTATGTTATTTTCAAGAATACCTATATGAAGTTGAGAAGAGTATTGACATTAATATCTTTAGTTACAATTATCGTGAATAAACTCCTGATGTATAAAGTATCTGATGGTGACAATTACATTATTGAAAAAATAGAACCAGGGGATTTTATGAATTCTGTAAAGTTATGGACGTACTATGAATAAATAGTTTGGAGAATTACATCAATAGATACTAAGATTTAATTTTCGATTATAAAATATGTGATCAATCTTTGATAGAACATTGGCAGTTACAGAACTATTTCTTGTGTGTCTGGCCACGGTTTTCATGATCATTTGAGATTTATTTTACATTTTGAATAGCAGGAATTGACATGGCCTGGTGATTAGGACGCTCGACTCGCAATGTGAGGGACGAGGGCTCGAATCTCTGTTCATCTTGCTCTTTCAGTAATGGGAGCGTTATAAATGACGGCCAATCTCACATATCGTTGGTAATAGAGTAGCCATGAGTTGACGGTGCGTGGCGTTCTCTCTAGTCTATCGCTGCTAAATTAGGGACAAATAGCGCATATAGCCCTCTTGTAGCTTTGCGCGAAATAAATAACAAACTAAACCAAACAAACTTTCATTAGTGCGCTGCGGCTTGATGGTTGTTGTTTTAGCGCAAGGCTACACAGTAAGCTATTTGTCCACTGCAAGAAATCGAACCCCTGATTTTAGGGTTTAAGGGTTTAGTATACTTAAAAATTTTATTAATGTATTAATTAATTGGTGTGACCAATAGATCCAAGATATAACTAGTTACATTTTAGATTCGATTCCCGAAACTGGAAACTATGGTTGCATTTTAGTTTACATAACTAGTTTTATATGTTTCCTTTAAATAACATTTATACTTACAGACCTAACATTCGTGATAAAATTCACCTTTGACCGCATTTATGTTTCGAATTTCTCTTAATTCATCTACTTAGAGGAATATGAACAAAGTAAGATGAATGTATAAAAATAATCATCTTCAGCTTATTGATTTCCAACGTTTCGTCAACTTTCGGCGTTAGAACCAAATACTTTAAACTTAATTTTAAAGTTATAAACGGAGTATCAAGTAATCTGTAAATATGTCTATCGTGTATTTATACGCTGAAAATATTTACGCAACACGTTATGCTTTGTATCCTAGTTGAAAGATTATGTTCTCTAAGGTTCCTAATTTGCATAAACAACTTCTATCGCTCTTAACATTTCTTCAGGTAAAGTCTGAGCAAGAAGTGTGGTAGAAAAGTTCAACAAATATTTAAAACACGATATAAAGTTGGCAGAAAACAAAAGTGCAGATCTGATGTCTGGATTGTACTCGTATAACGAGAAAACGTGAACACAAAGCTAACTACGACTCTCGCTGGAAATCAAATAATCAATATGCTGTACAAAGCTCAATGAGTAGTTGCGAGAAAGCAATATAACGAAGTTTGGAATTTTTAACCTATACCGATGTTTAAAAGACACAGATCGTAACTATTTATATTGATTAAGAGGGTCTTACCATACACACATTTTGTTATAAGGTGTGAAAATTGTAACTATGACGTTTGATCTAAGATTTCAAGATCGTAATTACGCTCTTCAGACTATGATATAAACGTTGTAATTACTTCCTCTAGATTAAATACAGATAGGATAAAATCGTAACCAGTATCATAATGGAATATTTTTCATATACACTTACACAAAATGGTTCGCGTTATCTTGTGAGGAAAGACTGTAGCGGATGTGGAGGTTGTAGTAATACATTAGAGCTCAAGTGTGAAGACTAATAACTTTTACTATGAGTTAAGTTCTTCCAAAAAAATAATTGTAAGGAAAGTTAGAATTAAATACAAATACAAACAAAAAACTACAAGTAAGACAATAACTGACGTAGTTCTTAACTAATAGTCCGAGTTGGTAAAGTGCCAAGTTCTTAAGTTCAAGCTGAATTTGGTGGATATGCTCAGAGTCTACTTATTAATCAATGTGTCTGCAATTGTATCACTTTTTGTACTCGAAGATGGTACTATATTTTGACATACAAACTGACAAATAGAGGTGTATAAAAAAAGTATATATATCCTCAAGTATAATACGCAACTCAGTAATTAGACATACATTGAGGAACTGTGAAACATGTTTAAAAGATTGCAGGGTTAATATTAATGTGAACTACGCGCGAAAAATAAATTTAAAATACAGTTTAACCTTACACAAATTTTATGCTGCATGCTCTTTATATATCAGTAAGTTTGAAATACACTTTAACCCGACATAAATGTTATGTTGCATGCTCTTTATATCCGAGTAATTTTAAAATACAGTTTAACCTTACATAAATGTTATGCTGCATGCTCTTTATATATCAGTAAGTTTGAAATACACTTTAACCCGACATAAATGTTATGTTGCATGCTCTTGATATCCGAGTAATTTTAAAATACAGTTTAACCTTACATAAATGTTATGTTGCATGTTCTTTATGTATGAGTAAGTTTAAAATACAGTTTAACCTTACATAAATGTTATGCTGCATGCTCTTTATATATCAGTAAGTTTGAAATACACTTTAACCCGACATAAATGTTATGTTGCATGCTCTTTATATCCGAGTAATTTTAAAATACAGTTTAACCTTACATAAATGTTATGTTGCATGTTCTTTATGTATGAGTAAGTTTAAAATACACTTTAACTTTACATAAATGTTATGTTGCATGCTCTTTATGTATGAGTAAGCTTAAAATACAGTTTAACCTTACATAAATGTTATGTTGCATGCTCTTTATATCTGAGTAAGTTTAAATATAGTTTATCTTTATATAAATGTTATGTTGCATGCTCTTTGTTTCTGTTTTACTTCTTTTTTAACATCCAAAATTCAGTTGTAGTGTTTGCCCTTTACTTTCTTAATCTTCTCTGATGATAATTCAAAACCTTCGACAATCTATAATTACTGCCACATTGTATCATCAAACTCGTCAATGATGTACGATGTTTTTGTAGTGTTTGCTCTTTACTTTCTTAATCTTCTCTGATGATAATTCAAAACCTTCGACAACCTATAATTACTGCCACATTGTATCATCAAACTCGTCAATGATGTACGATGTTTTTAATTGATCATTGAAATCTGGTTATTCCAACTCCAAATAACTGATATAAATCAAGACAACTCTTCAGTTCCTTACCAGAAACTTTTTCACGTCTTTCTTCGGTGATGTTCCGTGATAAGAAATGACCTGATTGACAAAAACAAAAAATAAAAATAGACATACAAGTAAAATATACATATTAAAAAAACAAACTTTCACGTGTATTATAAACTGCAGGTAGGTCGGACGACACAGAAGTAAGTAGGTCATTGGTAGATAGGTCAGTAGGATCTAAGCATAGTTAAGTAGGTGGTTGTGTTAGTCAAAATGTCCGTAGGAAGGTTGGTAAGTAGATCGGTAGCAAACAGAGACAAAAGGAAAGACTGGTATATTCGGACGACACAGAAGTAAGTAGGTCATTGGTAGATAGGTCAGTAGGATCTAAGCATAGTTAAGTAAGTGGTTGTGTTGGTCAATATGTCCGTAGGAAGATTGGTAAGTAGATCGGTAGCAAGCAGAGACAAATGGAAAGACTGGTATATTCCAACAGAGATATTGAAGATCGGACAACTACAATATGTGCAGAATTGAAACACCGGCGTTAAGTTTGTATCGTATAAAATTAGAGACAACAAAACAACATACACATTAGTAACCCTATTAAACATTGTAACGCTATACATGTACGTAACCCTATTAAACATTGTAACGCTATACATGTACGCAATCCTGCTAAACCTTACGTACACTTACGTAATGTTACTAAACTTTGTGTCACCATACACTTACGTAATCTTATTTAACTTTGTAACACTATACATGGAGGATTACGTACATGTATAGTGTTACTTACATGTAACACCATACACTTACGTAATCTTACTAAACTTTGTAACACTATGCATGTAGGATTAAGTACATGTATAGTGTTACTTACATGTAACACTATACATTTACGTAATCCTACTAAACCTTGTGTCACCATACACTTACGTAATCCTACTAAACCTTGTGTCACCATACACTTACGTAATCCTACTAAACCTTGTTTCACCATACACTTACGTAATCTTACTAAACTTTGTGTCACCATACACTTACGTAATCTTACAAACCATTGTGTCACCATACACTTACGTAATCCTACTAAACCTTGCGTCATCATACATTTACGTAATGTTACTAAACTTTGTGTCACCATACACTTACGTAATCCTACTAAAACCTTGTGTCACCCTACACTTGCGTAATCTTACTAAACCTTGTGTCACCACACACTTACGTAATCTTACTAAATTTTGTGTCACCATACACTTACGTAATCCTACTAAACCTTGCGTTATCATACACTTACGTAATGTTACTAAACTTTGTGTCACCATACACTTACGTAATCTTACTAAACCTTGTGTCACCACACACTTACGTAATCCTACTAATCTTTGTGTCATCATACACTTACGTAATCTTAATAAACTTTGTGTTACCATACACTTACGTAATCTTACTAAACTTTGTGATACTATACACGTTAAGTAATCCTACTACACTTTGTGATAATATACACGTTAAGTAACCCTATTACACTTTGTGACGCTTAAGTCTTGCCAACTGATACGACTCTTCGTTCGAGTTCTTTCATTAATATCTCGAATATTAGATGTATAATAGTGGTCTTTAAAACTCTGATGAAAATATTCTTGTGATACTCTTGAAACAGAAGAAATTTCAGCAAATTTGGGACAAACTTAGAAGTGTATTTAGTAGTGTACGATCAAACCTCGATGGCAACTTTCTGCCGAGCCATGGCTTTCTCCAGTTCACTGTACATCAAAGTGTTGTTGATACCCAATCCACAGAATAGAGTGAACGCCTGTACAAACAAAAACGTGTTCAATAAAATGCAAGGATGAACAATACGTAATATTTTACAAATGATTACAATTTTCAATTCAACGTAAAAAAACATACAATCAATGAAAAAACTACAGTAAACAGAACAAACTCTCAGAAGTCTGATATTCGTGCGTCCTCTCCAGTCTCACGTTGTCTTCTGGCAGGAAAAAAAACTGGTCAACAATAAGCCCCTAATGTGTTTTTTTTTCAATAAGTGCTACACATGATATTGTGTTCTTTTATTATTTCATACAATCAAATTTAAATCATTGAAACTACATAGGCTATATAAAATGTTTTCAGTAAATATAAAAATATCCATGTTTTTAAATACTACTTAATTGTACCGCAAAGCAATTTAATTTAACGTTTTATATTTTTCTTGAATCTCTTCTAGTCGCATTTAAACCAATGACAGACGTTAATTTAAAATGATCTGATTAGCATATTTACCATATGTAATCTATAGATATTAAATATTGATGATCAACAAGCCGTTAAAAATTTAAGTTCACAAGTATGTAGTTTTGTTGCTACAGGAATACTATGCGCACTCTGTTTACTTGCCAACAAACCCGAAGTGATCAAATTTGAATTAGTCGTTGAAATAAGATTATGAAATATATATATATATATATGAATATCTTACGTTTCTCATAAGACTTTAATGCTGGCATTTGTCGTTCATAGTTTTCTTTGACAAGTCGTTACTTCAATTACATGTTTATTTACATGATAAATAGAATAGATAAGTTTTGTCAGGAATTTGTCGAAATCCCAAACGATTTGAAAACCCTCTTCTATTCAACTAAAACAGACACAAGCTTCTCGTAACCTCTGCTTAATAAAACTACATTTCAAGTGTATTGATTTTCCAATGAATGGCCTGAAACATGCACTGAGCATTTCCAGTTAGGGATTTATCAGGTCTTACCTCGAACAATTGTTCGTCGTTTTCGTCAAAAGAAAGTCCATCTGTACGATTGATGATAATAGCGACGCCTACGTGGTAAAAATCAAAGCTTTAAGATTAAGTTTGGGTAAGAACGATCCTCTCCACCAGAAATTAATCAAGGAATTTTGAGTTACTGAAATGAAACCTTATACATCCTGCTTGAAATTTGAGGAACAACACTAGGAAAAGCAAGTATTTTCTGTGTTTAATACATTGTTTAAACCTACAGGTAGGAAGCATTAAAGTTGACAATAATGTTTAAATATGAGACGCAAAACAAGACTACAATGTTAAATAGTTCAGCTAATTCGTAAAAAAAATTACTGTTTAATCTCATTAACCCAAACTTATAGTTACGACATCCAGGTGACGATAGAGAAACACACAAACATTTAGTTTTTAATTCAGTGGAAACACAGTTTGATATAAATTTGAAACTTTGTTTCCTTCGAAGAAACTAATAAAATCTACACCAAAGTTTGAATGGAAAAGATAAGGAATAATTCATCATGCGGTTATTGGTGTTCAGTGGTTATCATTATAGTTGCAGCCCAAAACGATATAGAATAGACCCTTACCCTGGGGCTACCAAGGAGGGCTAAAACGTACCCGATAGGTGAACCAAGCGCGATGGGAGTCTGAGAGTAGGTTTTCGGGGTCACTGAATGGAAATATGGCATCGGCATTTATATTCCTGGCTCCCTTCGGGATTCCGTGGGGGCACTATATTAGAAATTATGTACAAACCCCAACTCACAAGATAGCGGAAATAATTTTATTAGAGTGTCCTAATGTTTTTTGGGGGTACTGACCCTCTCGTATAAGCAATTTGGTATAATGTATGATCTTGAGCGGTATATTGGGGCCTTCTTGAGGGTGTTTGTTTTCCCCGCCGCGGACATTTGATATTTTATACTAGTAATAGTAAGAATCCTTAAAACTCTAGAATCAGCCACTTACTATTGTTTCAAAACAATGGACTTGTAGGTGTGTTATTAACCATGAGTTTTAAACAGAAGATTATGATTCCTGTAGGTACGTTACAAACTATTTTTACAACATCGGGCGATTAACACTTGTAGATGAGTTACATATTATAGTTTTAAACTTGGGTAATTAACACTTTTAGGTGTGTTACAAACTATACTTTTAAAATTGGGTGATTAATACTTGTAGATGTGTTACAAACTGTAGTTTTCAAACTGGGCGATTAACACTTGTACAAACAATAGTTTTTAAGCAGAGGATGACTAACAGTCTCATACATTACAAGATATAACAAAAGTCTTAAAACAAAGAGTGGATGGTACTAAACTGATTCACTTACCTATAATCTTGTAGTCTCTGTTTCTAATCGACATACATAATAAAGACCGGATATGACGCCCAGCCACCTGTTGTGTCTGAAACCGGTAGTAAGTTAAAAATATCTTTAAATCTCAGTTTAGGGTACAAATCTTGAATATGATAAATTTATTAATATAGAAGCAAACGTTTTTAAATTAAAGTGTCAGTTTTTACATATATAAATGTGTTTCTCTACTTCTCTCCATTAAGTTTAATAAGGTTAAACTACTTAAAAGCTAGGCCTCATTAAAAACAAATCATCCTGTTTTATTGGCAGTCGAGTTTTGTATCTATTACTCAACAATTGATAGGCACATAACAATAACATGTATATTAAATTGAAAATAGCTATTATATTTTCAAAGTTCAAGTCCAGCGTAGAAAGGTGCTCAAACTGAACAGAACTGACAAGAGAACTTAATCACGTTAAAAAGAAAAAAGTATGTTATAAAGGGTACCACTTACTTAATCAATATCGTTACGTTTGTGTCTTGTTTAACAAAAGCTAAATAAACCCACGTTGTTTTAATTACGGTCTCTTTCTGTTTTATAAGGCTCTTTTAATACCGCAGGATTACCCGTTTCGATGAGATTTGCATTTTGTTGAATTAAGATATATTGTTGTTAATATTGAATTCGATTATTTGTTTGTTCGAAGATAAGCACAAAGCTACACAATGAGCTATCTTGGATCTGGCCACCACGGGTATCGAAACCCGATTTCTAGCGTTGTAAGTCCGCAGACATACCGCTGTGCCACTGGGGGTCCTGGATCGATGTTTGTTTGTTTGAAGTTAAGCACAAAGCTACACAATGAGCTATCTTGGATCTGGCCACCACGGGTATCGAAACCCGGTTTCTCGCGTTGTAAGTCCGCAGACATACCGCTGTGCCACTGGGGGTCCTGGATCGACGTTTGTTTGTTTGAAGTTAAGCACAAAGCTACACATTGGGCTATCTTGGCTCTGGCCACCACGGGTATCGAAACCCGGTTTCTAGCGTTTGTAAGTCCGCAGACATACCGCTGTGCCACTGGGAGAGAGGGGTGTTGGTAATTAACAACATGAGAAACTTTTATTCCATAATAAGTTGTTGTATTATAATATGAAAAACTGCCTCCACCACTCTACATGATAATTAACTTGTAAGGCTGTATATTTAGGTTTTTGGTTATTGAATTGATTTCGAGAAAAATTATTTCATTAGAACAATACACAACAGAAAGTAAATATTTCAAGTAGCATGTGAATAGTGTCGTAATAAGAGTAAGTCGACGAACAACATGTTCAAAAAGAACACACAACAAAATCTACAAATACTTTATTTAATTTCTGTAGTGCGAATTTGTGTATAGAAGATATATTAATACTAGAAATAAACGACCTTATAATACCAAAATGTTGTTTTTATTTAATTAAACACTCAACGTTTCGTTTTACAACTTCTTCAGGAGTGTTCACTAAAACAAATTGAAACTGACAGTCAGTTTCGGTTTGTGTTTTAATGAACGCTCCTGAAAAAATCTTTAAAGCGAAACGTCTAATTAAATAAAAATAACATTTTTGTCTTATAAGGTCGTTTATTTCTAGTATTAATAAAATCTACAAATACTTTATCAAACATTTTAGTAAATTTCAATGCGTTTTTTGTAACTTGTTACCTAAATGCTGTGTGGGATATTAATAATGTCAACAAAATAAAAAGTCTGATAGAGAGCCGTGTTAATCCAAAAAATAAAGAAAAAATCAGTAGCAGCTTTAATGGTGTTGAAACACTCCTATTGGCTGCCCCCCAGTGGCACAGCGGTATGTCTGCGAACTTTCAACCCTAGAAACCGGGTTTCGATACCCGTGGTGGTTTAAAATAAAAAGTTAATCTTGAGCTCATACCTGCTGATATATACCATATAGAGACACAATATCCAGATGAAACTGTTATGTAAGTTTAAAACGTAATGATTTTATATTTTTCTAGCTGCTTCTCAGCCGTAACCGACCATTTTTTTGGTTACAACATTCGCACAGATTTTTTCAGTCGGAGTAGAAGTTTCCAAAGAATTCTAACGTGTTATAAAGATGCATCCATATATAATATATATGTATATATACATACATACACATGTGCATCTTTTCCCACTATAAAAAAGCTTGTTTGTTTTTTAAGAGAAAAGCCATAGTGGGTTAACTCCTGTGTCCACCGTGGGGAATCGAGCCCCGGATTTTCGCGTTGTAAATCGGTAGACTTACCGCTGGGTGCTGTGGGTAAAGCCACATTGTTTACCAAAATAAAGTTCAGCTCTCGGTCTTCTTAGTTTTCAATTTGAAATGTTTCCAGTTGAAACATAATAAAGTACGACCAGGTAAACAGCGTGGCCTAGTAGTAGGCGTGACGGTTTTTCTTTGATTACTTTGTTAAGCAAAAAGTCAGTAACAATAGTCTATGTGTGCTGTGCCAACCACGTGTATCAAAATCCAATGTTTAACGTTATAAGCCGTCAGACGTACGACTGAGCCACTATGGGGCTGGGGTGACACACTATAATTCTGCACCTCCCACTTTGGAGCTGTGGGTGCGTTATAATGAAGACGGTCAAATCCCTTTATTTGGGTTAGGGCTAGAGTAGTCTAAGCGTTTGCGATGGGTGCTTGTTGACTAGTTGCATTCCCTCTAGTCTAATAGTTCAAAATTAGTGACGGCCAGCACAGATAGTCCTCGTGTGAGAATATCCAAAAATAAAAAAGTCGGTGGATTGAGAATGGACGAAAAGAAAAAAAAATGTCGCACACATAGAACAAAGAAATAAATACAGCGGTAAACAACAGATAAAATGCTTCCTAGTAAGAGAAGTATCTTAGGATATTGGATCAACGCAGCGATCTCATAGATCTGACCCCAATTCTCCATCCTCGTAATGTAAAATCAACTTATAACTCAAACATAAAGAAGAAGGAGGGGGTGATTAGCCTACGTCATCCCAAATTTAATGACAACAATAACCCATTGCTGCAACATTGTAGGAAGGCAGTTGTTGTCAGTGAAACAGGAATATAAATATTGACATAGTTTACTGAAAACAGGACACTGGAGGTGATAAGTAAAACAGAAGTCGGAACCGGGGTTGCTGGAGGTGCAGTAACACCCCCACTTTTATATATATATTTGACTTGTATAGTAACTATAAATTATATTATTATAATAATTTTCTGGGGGCATGCCTTTGGCAGCACGGTAGCTGCTTTTATTAGCTCCTTATACTTTCAATCGCTTATTGTAAATCTGCATGTCCTAGGAAGTAGCCCGGCATGGCCAGGTGGTTAGGGCGCTCGACTCGCAATCTG